TGATTTGGAAATAAACTCTGTATAAGAGATCATGTGGTAGATGTAAAAATGGTATGTTTCTAAGCAGCCTTTCTATATTTTGCAGTGTTGAGAAATACAAAGGCAATCATGTGATTTTTGGTGCCTTTAGAAGTATACTATAGTACTTCCTTACCAATAAATAAGTGAAGACTGCTTCCATAATTTGTATTTGATGTGTTTGGTCCATCTCTCCATTTTGATTTTTTTGCTTTTTCAAGGATTGTTGGGGCTGGGGGGGGGGGGGGGTTGTTGGGGTTTTTTTTGGCTTTTTTTTTTTTTTTTTTGCTACTGTTTTGCTCTGTTTTCTTCGTTGTTTGTGATGGACTTATTCCTAAGAAAGAAGATGAGTGAATGACTAGTGGACAAAACATTGTCAAATGCCCAAAGCAGAAAATAAACCAGAATTGAAGATAATTTCTTTTAAGACTTTACTGCTGTGGTGTTGATTAGAAAACATAAAGGTAAAAAAATGCCTGTGTTGTTTTATATTGCTGTTAGAAATTAATCTAATACGAAGCCCAAGGAAAAATGTTTCCTAAGTGCATGTTTCAGGACATAGTTATTTTTGTAAGAAATTTTTGTTATCACTATTCTTGGTCTAATTGGGATCTGGATACGCCTATGTACTTCCTGCAGTCAACAAAAGAAGAACAGCTGCATTTACAGATACGCTTATTGATTGTTCCTAATCCAGTTGAGGTAAGAAATAAGAGTATATTATTTTCAATTAGGCTAGCATTTGACTAGATGCCCTTTAATTCAGTAGAGGGCTGCTGCTGTGCATGTGCACCATTTTATGAAGCAATTGCAAGTAAAATGGTTTGAAGGAGGAGGAGGGAGTATAGAGGTCAATAATATTAAGAAAGGTTCTTGGTGCTGAGTAGAAAGTACCTGCATCAGACTAAGAGATGTCTCATCTCTGACTTATATGCAGCCATTTCTACTCTTCTGTATTGAAAAATCTGTTTTTAATCTTCTTATCTTTCCATAAAAATCTGCTATCTGAGGCTCTCTAGATAAATTTTAACTTGTTGGAAGGTCCTTAGTAGTCTGTTCTGGGAACACAGAGGTGCTTCTCTGAGGAGAACTACTTGTTAAGCCTGAAAGAAGTCTAGGTGCTTTCTTCTCTGCTTTGGCCCAGAAAGTAACAAGCTGTAAGATTTTGGCGTTGACCCTGTCTCTTAAAAGCGATCTGTCAAGAGGGCAAGAAAACCAAAACCTTGCATTTTCACTCTTTGTGTGCGAGGCAGCAAGAGAGGAGTGAGGAGGAAGCATGTGTTGAGGGATGGGAAGACAGGATGGTTATTGTTTTGATGTTTTCTTCCTTCAATCCCCTCATCTTCCCTTTTGAAGAAGAAAGTCATACTTTTCTGTGGAAGTCGTATGAGTCAGAAGGGTAAAAGCTTAGGTGTTTGCGAGAGAAGGAGGTTTTTAACCAGATTGCTTAAGGTTAAAGGAGATTAATGTTGTGGTGATTTAATATTTTGCTTTCTGCTAAAAGTAAAAAGGGGATTTAATATTACATTTAAAAAATGTTCTATTGCTTTGTGTCCTGGTTTTGACTGGGATAGTGGCAGATTGCTGTCAGAGATCAGGAGCCTGAAACTCTCAGTGAAATGTGGGGTGAATTGTAGCTTTTGCGGTTACTGATTTCTCCTTTTGAAAGTATGGTGTTCTTTATTTGTGCTTATTCTGCTGGGTCCCGGTAAACCCTTCTGTTTTTCTTTAAAGAACAGAAAGTACCTCTGCTGGTTAATACTCATTTGGTACTTATGAAGTCATCACTTCTACTTCTCTCATTTTTTTCCTTTATAGCTTGCCAGACTATGTAGTCATGGAATATATTTCACTCTCATGCTACAAAAATTCTCTTTTTTTAATTTACTAAAAAATAATTTGTTGGTAATGACTCTTGAGATGTTTCTCATGGCGATGCTGATCAAATGACACTGACTCAGATGCTCCCATCCTCCCCTCCTTTTCCTTTGTTCTCGTAAAAACTGACTTCTGTATTCTCAAATTTTTACTCTCCCTAACCCTTCTAAACCAGGCCCGAGCCATTTGTGCTGTGTGGATCCTCTTTCTCCCTGGCAGGGGTGGGTGGAGAGGGGGAGTGGTAGAAAGGGCAAACTCCTGTTAGAAGGCTCTGTTCAGTTCCCAGCAGACAGCTCTGGAGGCTGGAATGCCAAGTATGTTCTTTCTCCCTGCTTTCTGACCCTCTGCTGCATGGCACTTCTGCAGGCTGGGGGGTGTCCGGAGGGCAAAAATCTTCCTGATTTTGTTTCTTGGAATATGCTTTATCCAAATGGAAGGAACGGTTCTGTCGTTTGCAGTATCCTTAAACCATTGCGTGATGCAGCAGCCTGCAGGGAACCACCTTAGAGATGCCAGGGTCAGACACTGGTCTGCAGTAAACTAAAGTGTTCATTGTCAAGAGATCTAGTAATCTATTTTGTTTTTCCGTATTTCTCGGTTGCTTTAATCAGAAAGTCTTAAATTAAGTGGATTAATGATGTGAAGACTCAGGATTTTTTTTTTTCCCAATCTCACATGAAATGTATACAGATACATCATGCAAGTCTAACACAGAATGAGGTGCTGATGTAAACTACTAGTGTGCTGGCTTAAACAGGTAGTTACTAGTGGAGTACAGGAAAGAGGTTGTCTGATCTTTAGGACTGTAGCAGAATGGCAGACAGATTGTGAAAAACAATGCTCTAGCAGGGGTCTATGCATCCTGCTTACCTCTTCTAAAATGTAAAGGCAACTCCCAAAAGGAAGGTGACTCACTGAACATCAGTGTTGCCCGTGTGCGCTCCAGTCGTCTCTCTGCATTCCCCTTCACAGTGGCACTGGGTGCCATGGCTGGCCTGAGACTTCGGGGGCTGGCATCCTCCAAACTTTATCAACGCCGGCAGGATCGGCTAAGTGGCACGGGGTCACTCCTGAGCAACAGGACAGATACAGCAGCTGGAATACGTGGGTATGTCTCTGAGATGAAGGGAATGGTATTGTTGAAGCATTTTCCAGGATTTGATAGATGTTTGGTTTTGGTGGTGGGACTTTTTTATTTAAAGTGGGAATTGTCTGCACACAGCCAGAGGGGATGAGGTCTGTTTATTTTCATTTCCAAGTAGATTACGAAGGAAAGGACTTTCCTGATGAGAAAGCTTTCAGTTTTTAACAATACCAGGAAAGCAACAATGGAGAACCTTTCCCGTTTCGAAGCACTGTACTAGACTGTTCAGAACCAACATTAGTGCTAGTGTTGTTAATGGTGACATATTTAGGCACTGTGGGAATGAAAAAATGATGAAATGCAGTAGTTTTTCTAAATGTTGATAAAATTCTACTGTTCCTTGATTTTTAGCGCTCAGTAGTCCTTTTCTTCACCTGTACTGTTCGTAGCAAGCTAGTTGATTTTAGCTTTTGTAAGTAACTTCAGTCCAGCAGAAACTGAAGCTTCGAGTGTAGCTGCTTCTTGAGATTATTTAGAACGTGTCAGTCAAAGCTTCTTAAATCTGCCCAGACAATTCCATTGCTTGATTTGATCATTACTTTTCCTGTGCTTCAGATTAAAATTTTACTTCTCAATTTCCATTGAAGTTAATTTTGGGCTGGAGAGAAATTGTTCAGAATTAAATAAAATTCAGTTTCTTGAATTTTGAGAGAACTGTGAGCTGCAGCAGCAATATGGGATCTGACATCTGTGTCACTGGGGAGAGCAGTAAGCATGCAGGAGAGGAGATTTTTTTCTAGCAGTCAGAAGTTTTGAATTTTAGTCTTTTCTTAGCAGGAGGTAGACCTGATGCTTACCTGTAATTGAGCAATCGGTTTAGCTTCTCAATTTGAGCTGCGGATGCCTCACTAGAACCCTACTTTTCCCACTATTTTCCTTTTAGCCTATAGCTATTAGTTAGTTGCTCAATTTTCGATTTTTCCTACACAAAGTTGTGAGTGTGAATTTATGAGCATTTAGTGAGGAGGGGCGTAAGAAGGTTGTGAAAGAAATGGCGATGCCATTGAGTGGGGAGGATGCTGTTCAGGAAGAGTGAGAAGCGTAGAAGGGACCTGTGAGAGAAAATAAAATAAGCATTGAAAAAGCAGCAATGGAACACAAACAGCAGAGTGTGAACTGAAGATAGGAAGGATGAGGAGATAAATGCCTAGACACAGTCATCTCACATTGTGAAAATGTGGTTTACTTTCAGCTGTTTAACTATGTTTCATTGTAACCTGTAAGAGCCTTCCAGAAAGAAGGTGAAAGTACAATATTTTTTCCCCATGATTTCGAATTCTTATTTCTAATAATTTTGTTTCTGAGTTTGTAAACATGGCAGAGATTTTGCAAGCCTTGATTTTGTGGTTTTGTTTTGTTTTTTAATTACAGTTTAAACTCTCTCTTAAGTAGATATACTTAATCTGCTGTGCAGAAAGAATGCCGTTTTCTGAACAGCAAGTTTGTAGTCCTCAGCGCTACGCTAGTACGGTTTTGCAGGAGAACAAGGTTAGTTCTCGTTTGCCTTCTGTGTTAGCCAGCTTTCAGGAGCTGGAACAGGGTGTTTGGAAAATGCTTTTTTGTGTGAGATCTCTCTTTTTAAACCTATGCTATTAAGTGTGCTGTGTGAGGCTGCTAGAGGAGGTGATCTGGGCAGCACTGGCATAGCAATGTTGACAGTAATGGGTCTCCACATGTACTGCATTGGGCTTGGGCACATTGGTGAGTCTGGGAAGAGTGGAGTGGCGCGGGGAGCTCGCTCTGAAGCCCAGCACAACTAGGACTACAGGGATATGGTGCTAGGTAGGAGGATGCTCGAGGCCTGATGCTGCGCGGTGTTGAAGGAGGCAGAGGCTGTGTATGTATTGCTGTGGTGACATGTATACAAAGCAAGGCAGACAATGCTTGCACATAAACTACATGCTGGCAGAATTTTTAATAAGGCCAGGCAGGTTTGGAAGAAATAATTTTGCAGCTGGCAGAGTGATTTAGGGGGGAAATGTCTAGATAGGTCAATCAAATACATTTTTCACATCATAATTCTTGAAGCGAAGTAAGTATAAAGCTACATATTTTGGTTTTATTCAGCAGATGGCAGTGCTGAAGATTATAATCTGTTTGGGAATTTTATCTCCTGAATTATTTGTATTTTATCCATGGGTTTGAGCTACTGCTAATTTTTGCTTCTCCGTGCTGATAGCTCCTGATACTTTATGTGCTTTCTTCAGGCAAATGAGAGTAATCCAAAAGTGTTGTTGCTGCTAGTTGGTGATAGTTGATGAACACACTTGGGAATGATCTGTCTTATCAATGCTGGTAAACAACCATCACATTTTAGCTCCTTTGAGATAGTGGAAGTGAAGAGGAGAAAGATGAAATGTGTGTAAGAAGTTATTTATCAAATAGCCATTGTAGGTGAGGTGGTACACGCTTGATAATAAAAGGGTGTTTTTCCTGTGTAAGAGGTACAATCTGTTTAAAACCTGTACATTTCTTTGTGTTGTTGATGTTTCCCCAGGCTGAGTAAACACTGCTAAACGTGGGTCTTTTTAAGTGACTGGTCATGGTTTACTGGAAATAAGTATTGCATTGCACTGAGAGGGACTACCAAGTACCTGGGGCATAGGATTTTTTTCTGTGTGAATACCAACAGGCTTTCATTGCTGCTGCTGCTGATCTCCAAAGTTGTCTGATTGTGGCTTCCCCTGCAGGCCAACCGTACGGACATCATATTCTGTTCTCAGCTGAAATGTGTGGAGGAGTGGAATTTTTTTTTTAAACCCCTGGCTTCTGCTAGTAGCCAATTGCTGTTGCCAAGCAGCAGGCCAAGGAGAGGTGAGAAGCTATGAAGATGTTTTTCCACATTGTGACCATAAGTATGGTTTTCTTATTTTTGGTTATCCCTGTGTAGTAAATAAGAACAGAAAGTGTTTATTTCATTGAGAGATTGGGGGCTGCATGGTTGAGGAAGATATGCTGAAACACTACTCATTTCTTATTTAGCCAGCTGAAAAAATATTTAAATAGGGAATGAACTGAAAATTCAATGCAAGCAGAAGGAGAAATGCTGAAAATGTTAAGCTATGCATGTAGTTTTATCAAAGGCACAACAAATCATACGTTGTACAAATAAGAATTTTTTTCTTCTTCAACATTTTATAAGAAATTTAATAGTAACTGTAAAGAGGTTAAATCAGTTTGGGAAAGTTGTCTAGATAAAAGTCAATTGCAGTGAAGAGATTTTTGAAGAATGATAAGGGCAGTTGAAGGTTGTTTTCCAGCAGTTCATGCACTGATACCCTCTGATATCCTGATGATATCCTGAACTGATATCCTCTTTCTTTTTTCTTTTTATTAGTTTGTGAAATTAATAATAAAGTCTGGTATTGTCCTGGATTTTTTTTTCTTTGTCAACATTAAGCGCTTAAAGCCATAAATCCTCAACCATGCTATGGGGGTGGGAAGAAGCCCCTCTCCTGGAGTGCTCTGGTTTTTATCTTAGCTACTGGCATCTATGATATACACAAGTGGTGGCAGCTTTCTAAGTTTTTGACTCTTCACTATCCTAGGCATCTGTGTGTGTATACATACTAGAAATGACTATGTAAATGTTATCATATTGTGGTATCTTCTGTATACACTAGTTTCTACTGGTAGACCAGAATGAGCAGAGAATACCTTTCAGGGATTCCCTAGCATAGGTACAGTGCCTGTCTGCTGAGGTTTGGACAATACCCTGAGCTCTTGTATCTTAAAATGTTGCCTTCCTTTCTTTTTGTAGTATCTGTAAGGTTTTTGGTCATCTCTGTATTAAAATAATTATTCATTCATCATTATGATGAGGGAGAACTATCTTTGACACTAAAACCAGAAAGCTTTCAAGATCAATTAAAGAAAACTGATTTTTTTGACTGGGCTTTTCTGACAGAAGTGTTTCTTATGCCTGCAGTTCCTTTCTTGGACCTGAGAGAGTCTGAGACTGTTCATCTGTTCACCTGGTTGTCTAGTTGTCTGGTTTGTTTTGTCTTGCATCCACGTTTAAGATACCGAATTCTACTAATGCAAAGGGTGGAGCTTCTGTTCTACTCTCTTAGCAGTGCAAGTAGTAGATTTGCTTTTTTTTTTCCCTCAACCGGTCACCAGTGCTAGATCCCTGTGGACAAATATTTAAAAAGAGTTTAAATGTTTAAAACAGTACAGAAGCTGTAGCATTTCAGACAGCTTTCTTGGTATTTAAGTTCAACCTTTTTTTTTCCCCCTGTAGTGATACAGGTCCAATTTCCTGAATCGCCCTGAAAATATGATATAAAAATATGACTTTTGCTAGCCCAAATATATATGAAACCACTGGTTTTGGAAGATAGAGCCATGTTGACTTTAGTGATATAAGAAGGTAAAATGCTTTCAAATCTTTCTATAGCACCTGTACCGGTGGCACAGAATGGGTCTCCCAGTTAACTTCCACTCCTTATAAAGAAAGAATTTTTCTTTTTTTCTTTTTTCAATTGGAGACCAATGCTGATACTTTATAGTAAATACTTCCGAGAAGTCAAAGCATGAGGAACCCACACCTAATTATAATGCTAAGTAACTAATTTCTGTAAATTAGGTATCTTCTTTGGGGAAGATAATTTGTTAAAGATACAGCACATAATGGTGAAAGATTGGAAGAAGCATTGTTTGAGCACTGGTATTTTTGGGGTTTGCACAGGACAGGATAACTTCAGGATGTTGAGCTAGTCATGTTTTAATGGCCTTTCCTGTCTTTGTGTCACCAGCTTATTGTTAAAACAGAGGAAGATTCTGTATTTTCCTGAATTGCAAAAAATCAGTGAGCAAACAGAATACAAGAAGCGCTCCATATTGGGGACTGTCCTTTGTGGGAAAGATTGTGATCTGAATATCTTACGATTGACACAGCAAGTCAAACTTTTGTGGTCACTCTTGGCACCACCATCAAAAGGATGGTTTTGGTGTTGCTCTTCCTCGCCCCATGCTGCTGGCAGAGGTGTTTTTGCAGCAGTGTAGTAAACTGAATCATAAAACTGCTCTGCATTAGAACTGTTCTCCCTCCCCCTTCCAGCCTTGGTTAATTTTAACCTTGAGCTAGTTGACTAAATGCTTGTTTTTGCACAAGGAAGAGGGCACACGGGGGGGTGTAGTTGTGGGAGATTAAGAAACTATGACATACATGAAAGTAAAATTTTTTAATAAATGCAAAGTCATACTTTTAGGGAAATGCTGAAGTTGCAAATTTTAGCTTGAGTGTAAAAGAATAAAATGTCTTAAGAAAAAACGAATGCAAAGTCATGACTGAAAAGAGAGCAGAGATGTAAAACTTGAGCTATGATTATCAAAGAGCCACAGCTGCTGGTTTGTGTTACAGGAGACATATTGGTCAGGAGCTGATGGGTGATTTAGTTGTCTCCTGTATGGCTCTCCCCAGCAAATTTCAACTAGGTTATAGTTGAGGTGGAAAACTGTGTTATTTTTTGTACGGATTCTTTTGTTTTATTCTTTCCTAGACTAACAGTTTCTCTCATGTATGAGTAACAAGTCACAATCAGTAGCTCGTTTGCATTGTGGCATTTCTTGGACAGCTCAGGCTGTACCGCAATCATCTTTCTTATGCTCTTAAGGAAATGTTGTCAGCCTTAACCAAGTTCTTCTAGCGCAAACATTTTGAAAATTTTTTAATGTTTTCCATTTCCAAGTCTTTGAAGTGCTTGTTCTATTCTGTGTTGCAAAATCATTAGTGAGTTTTCACTCCGTATTTTATTCTGTTGTTAAAAAGTATTGGAATATCTTGAGCAAAATTCCATAGCTAGGAGTTGGACCTTTTGCATCATCATGCATCGGAAGAATGGTATATTAACTCCTGGGACTCTGATATTTTCTTGCTTTTGCAAATGAATGAGGTAAATTAATTTTTTGAGAGTTAAAAGTTAAATCCAAAGTTGTACATCATGCTAAGGGAAGACAGTAAGAACACAGAACAACTTTCACTAGGAATTTCAATTTCCCAATAGATTTTATATTGTTTAGAAGTTAGGGTTTACTGTGGGGTTACTCTATCTTGACAGCCCTCAAATGCTATTTTCAGAACAGAGGCTCCTGAAAGCCACCTTCTTGTGAGTGAGGCCCTGTGCCTTCATTATCTTTCTCACCAACACAGCCACGGGACTTGTGTCAGAAGCTCTCCTGGGATAAGTGTATTCCATAGTGCTTAGTGTGAACTATCACACTCGAACTTGCCCTGTGTTCCATACAGGAACACGGCTGTGCAGATTGCAGGCTGTAATGGTTGCATACTGCCGGTGTCTAGGTGGCAGCTCTGTTCTTGCAGAGCTCAGCCAGCAGGTAGTTGGTAGCGGCAGTGATGGGTACTGTTCCTGTCCTAGAGTTCTGTTAAAGTCCGTTTGGAGAAAGGAAAAAAAAACCCCTCAGGATTTTTAAAATGTTGATTTCATGTTTATAAAGCAAAAAACCCAACTAATGCAACCTTAGATCATGCTTTGTTGGTAGTGTGTAGGGTGTAGTACTTACTATTATGTAGGAAGCTACAAGACTCACTGAAACACTGTTTTGCCCTGTTTTCTTCCATAACCCAGAGGAGCTTTTTCGCTGATGTTGACAGGAGGCTTTCTTAATGATGGCTGTTGGCTAACTCAAGTCTTGGAATTCAGGCATCAAATTTTTCAAGAGGGGAAAAGATATTTGATGGGGAGGTTATATTTTCAGGTCCTGGTACACATTTGCATGATGTAACTGAAAGAGTGACGATTGAAAACTAAGCCGATTAGCTCTCTGGGCTTTGCTGCAAACACTGATGTTTTTGTGTTGACCTATTCCTTTGGTACTGTGTCAGGGTAAAAATGTTTCTTTAACCTATGATCTCTAGTTTATGAAATTACAGGATTTCCTGCTTGTCCATAATTCCAGTCCATGTCTATTTTTTAAAGCTCCTTTGTACTGCAGTAAGGAAACAAGTTGTAATAAATTTCTGCTAAATCAGTGCTCCATTCTTGAAATTGTTACCAGCTCCCTTGGTCTTTGCCACCCTTGGAATTGCAGTGGCAGAAAGAACATATATTTTTACTGAGCAGTCACTCCAGGTCGCGGCGCGGGATATTTGTACAGGCTGCAGCTGTGATACATTCGACTCAGCTGAGCCAGCTGAAGCACAGGGTCGGTTTTGTTGCCTGAGGAGTACGAGGCTGCTGCCTGCACTGCTGCCTGCTCATTCTAGTTGTGCTCAGAGCACAAAGCCCTGCCATACAAATGGTGGTGTGTTTTTGTAGGGCTGTCTCTGACTAGAGGAAAGAGAATCTTCTGCTACTGGAACATGCTTATTGAATTACGGTTCTCTATGAAGAAGTGTGGAAAGTAGCATGTCAGGTTGTAGAACAACACTAACAATGGAAAATTCAGTTCAAAGTAGCTTTGAACATAAAAAGAAAGAAAAAAATCTTTTAAACCAAGCCATCTTTCATTTTATGTATGTGTTATATGCTTCTGGAAAACTACTACACAAATATTTCAGAGATTTTTAACAAGCTGGAAATTTTTTTATGCTCCCACCTTTAAAACTGCTATCTTTCCAATCGTAGAATTCAGAAGGCACCCATAAGGCATAAAATAGTTTTTCTGTATCTAAAAATGTAAGAATATTGAATTTTTATAATATTGGATAGTCTGGTGGTTAAAAGAGAGATCGCATTGCAACAAGAAACTGAGACTCTTTCCTTATCGTTTTTCCCTCCTTGTTTGGACACGCAATGTATGATTTTAAAACTGCATTCTGTTAGTATGTAGAGAACTTACCTTACCATGATGGCAAGCATGAAAATTTTGTGAAAGAGGTTAGAGTCATTTTGTATTTTAGGGGAGATAGAGGGAATGTCCTTTGCAGGATTTGCAAGTGTGGTTTTGGAGGTTTTTTAGCCTTACTTTCTGAGGAAATGAAGCTAATGTATTTACCAAGCCAGCCAGAGAGACTTCTCTCTTCCTATGCCTTTTTACCACTTTGACAGTTTCAACTAACTTGGCAGGAAGATAGAGGCATTGTATGCAGTTGTTTTCCAGTGAATCTTGTGCACATAAGCTGCTGGGTGGAGGGGGAAATGCCCTTTTAATTCCTAAAGTGAAGAGGAGTCTGCAGTGTGTTATCATGCTTATTACACATCAGAAAATCCTTGGAGATGCAGATGCTGAGACCAGAAATCCCAGGAAGTCAGGATCATTGTGTTTGCTGCTCCCCGAACTACTGATTTGTTTAAAATTGTGGATTTGGTATGAGCTATTAGCAGGATGACATAATGGGGTGAAAGACTGGTGAAGCAGCCAAAAGTGTGCAATAGGTAGGTCTGCTGCATGAGCTCGTTCTGCCACGTGTGAGTTGCAAGAACATTATTTCTAACTGATGTCGATGCTGAATTGACTCATTGGTCTTTTTTTTTTTTTGCGTGTAAAAAGGAGTTTAAAGCAGTGGAAATGTGTTCACAGATGTTGGGGAAACTTGGATGATATGATTATGCTCATGTGATTTGCTGTGACATTGCTCATGTTCTTACTCTTGTCTTTATTCCAGTAATATGTCTGATGCTCTCGCAAATGCAGTATGTGAACGCTGCCAGACTCGATTTGATCCTGCAGAGAGGATTGTGAACAGCAATGGGGAGCTCTATCATGAAAACTGCTTTGTCTGTGCTCAGTGTTTTCGTCAGTTCCCAGATGGGCTTTTTTATGAGGTGAGGTCTCATACTTTGTGTAAGAGAAGAGAAATAGCTCCATTAAAATGCAAGGAATTAGGTGAAAATTCTGACAGAAATATGAATTTCCATCTTTCTTGCATGTTTAATTTCTTAGCCCTAAACCTTTGTTGCTGTTTTTTTGAGGGGATTCCAACTTCTTTTCCTTTTTTTCTTCTCACATACTCCTTCCGATGCATCAATAACGGCAAAAACTGTGTGCTTATTCTTTGGATAAGAGACATTTCAGAAAGAAAATGTTTCTTAGTATTTCATTAGACATAACTGAATTTTTGTCTTTATTTTTAGACACTTTGTAAGTGTCTAAAGAAAACTTTTCCAATTGGGCAACTGAAATTGGTGAACCCATTTAAAAATGAGGTTGAAATATTTATACAGAATATATGCGAGCACATATTTTGAATAACACGTTATTTTAAACATACTGCATTCTTAATTTGCCATGAGTTTTAGCCTCGTGTAGGAGGAGTAGTTCTGAATTACCTAAGTAAAAAAAACTAAAGCAGAAATGAAATTAAAGCCGACTATAGGAAAAGGGCTTTGGACACTTCAAGATTTTTACTGTCTTGTAGCAGCATTGCTATTAATTTAATTGTTTGCTATGCAAATTTGCCATGAAGCTGAAGCAATATCTGGATATTGCTTTAAGAAAAATCCTTAGGAGTTTAAAACCAGATGAGGGGGAGCTAGAACTGGAAAACTTGACTGACCTTGACTAATTGGTCATTTCAATGGAAAATCATGCTGAACTGTCAAGACCTGAGTGGTTCAGTTATTCATGAGGGCTCCTTCTCTCTTGTTTTGTTCACAGTTTGAAGGTCGGAAGTACTGTGAGCATGACTTTCAGATGCTGTTTGCTCCTTGCTGCGGGGAATGTGGTAAGATGTGATTCATGTCAATATTGTGGGGTAACAACTACGGGACTGTGCAAACCTCCCACCATTGCAGTGACATCCAGCCCTGGGCTGGGATTGTTGAGGTCATTTTAAAGAGCAAGACCTCTGGAGAGAAACAAAGCATGATACCAGCAGTGGTTTAGGGTATCTTGGTTGTGGGAATAATTTGGTTTTTTCAAAGTTAGACTGTAATAGTTCTTGTGGAATTCAAGTGGAGGGATTATGAAGGGCAGTAGACATTTGATAAGACTGTTTTCTGCATACATCTCAAGATGTTGCTTTCCTTTTGCAGGTGAGTTCATTATTGGGCGCGTTATCAAGGCAATGAACAATAACTGGCACCCAGAATGTTTCCGCTGTGAGCTCTGTGATGTAGCACTTGCTGACCTGGGTTTTGTGAAGAATGCTGGCAGGTAAATGGAGCAGAAGCTCTGAAAGTTTTATCAATATGTTATTGATACAGTAGTGAGATGTTGAGAGTGGTCAGTTAGTTGTACACGGAGAAGTAAAGTTTGAAAAGGTACAGAAGAAGCTTTAAGGAATAGCCTGTTAGGAGATGGGAAATGGAATGAAGAACAGTGTTCTTCATCCAATGAAACATGTAGAAAGCAGAAACTCAAATTTTAGTAGCTAGTGGATGGGTTCTGGAAAAGAAAAGGATTTCAGGCAAAAGGCTGAATAACAAGTGAGAAAAAGGGATTATGTGATCCTGGGCAGGCTATTTATCAAGTAAGCTGCTGAGCAGGAAATGAAGATAGAGCAGAAGGCCAAGAGAATAACACAAGGATTACAGCAAAGCCTGTTCAGCGTGTGATTCCCCTTGTCTTTGGAAATAATCTGTTTTATGGACAGAAATATAAAAATGAGTCCTAAAGGTTGGTTAATGCATTTAATTAAGAAGTAAGAAATAAAAACATAAAAGGGAACTTGTACAAAAGCATACCATGATAAGAAATTAAAACAATCCAGCAGTTAGCAGACAGTGTTGCACAATTCATAGTTAATTTCAGGCTTTCATATGTCTTGAGCAAAGCCTAGTGGTTTCCTAGAGTTCATATTCTCACTAACTAAATGGTGAAGAAGGGAGGGAAAGGTCATATATTTGTACCCTGTCCAGCAAGGATTCCTCTCAGTGCCCTCTTCTCTTCCATCCTGCATGCAACTTCTGTGCCTTAGTTTTCGGAACTGGGCGTAATTTATTTTCTTTTGACATCTAAGCTTGTTAGAATGGGCTGCTGTGATAGCACCTAGGGTGTTTTGGGAAAGCAGTCAGGATTGAAGCAGTTCAAGGAAGATAAAGTATGTTTGATTTCATAATTTATGGACCAAATCTAAAATGGTAAGGAGCTTGTTCCCAAAATCATAGAAAAGGGATGTGCATGTGTATGTATCTGTACATACACAGATATTTATATAATATAAAAATATAATTCACCTGTCACATGATTTCCTGTAATATTTATCTCCAAAGCATAGAAGCAGTCTTCTAGTAAATGTTATTGGAAACTCCTGGGTTCTTTTTCCCCGCTTCTCATTGTACCTGGTCTTCCCTAGTCTGCCTGTCATTTCCAGACATATTCCACTGGATGCAATTTGTATCAGTGAGGATAGTTAAGATAATCCCTACTTTATCCATATTGAAGGAATAGTCTTGCTAAATAAGTCACAAAAATGAATTGTAAAACACCTCAAAGATAGGAATCTGTTCTAGACAAAGACTTCACATCTTCATATGCTTGCTTTTCTTCACTTTTACCATTTGGGTTCGTATTTTTATGATTCGGTGTGTAGTAAAGATGCTGTATTCCTGAACAGCCCTTTTCCATTCTTTAGTTTGAGGGTTATCAGGATATCTCATGTTTTGCAGGGAGCTACGTAAAAGAGGCAGTGTAGTAAATGTTGTCCAACCTCTGTCTGCAGCTTTGAGACAATTGCAGAGGGCAGATAGAAAAGGTAGTGTGAAGTTTAGTGCTCATCTCCAGCTCTGAAAGCTGGGAAGAAGTGAAAAAATTGTGAGTCCTGTCTTAATTCCAGTCCAGCCTGGTGCATTGCAGCATTTTGGTGTTTTTTTTCTTGCCACCATTTAGTACCAATTTTCTGTCTACTGTGTATAAATGCTTCGAATTCAGAGACTTGAGCAAGATGTGCAAATATGCTGTCTTTTCATCAGGCAGGACTATGTCAGGAGTGGATCTCTACTGCTGGCACATACAAAATTTTAAAGTAGGCTGTATGTATTGTGCAGAGGAAGAGTTGTTACTGAATGCTTTGGGAATTAAGTTGGTTTGTTTTCTTAAAAAACCCCCAATGTCCGTTTAATAGCCTCTTTGCTCTCTTCCCTAGTCCTCAGTGTTCAGCCCTTAGTTTCACATCTAGGAAATCAGTGGAACTGTTCTTCTGTTTGCAGTTTCAGTAAGACAAGAACATGTGATCTCTGTTGTCAGGGAGGTTATTGCTAATTGCAGTCCCATAAAACCAACAGAACTTCCCTCTGCAGGATGAGCTTGACTCTGGGTGGACTATCTCACTGCGTATTTGCACTCAGCTGATTTTGGTGGAATACAGTGATGTTAAGTCAAAGCAGTGACAAGTCATGTTCACAGTTCAGATTTAGCACTTAGCGAGCTTTCATTTGTCTTACCCTCATATGTTTGAGGCAACATTACAGTCTTTTTAACACAAAACATGTTGCACAAAGCCTCACGGAATTTCTCAGCTACAAAAAAATACATGACTGGGTCAAAGGCACCGTTTAGACTCGTGAGGCAGGAAGTGATGCGGTTACTGAGGGCTAGCATACGCTGTGTTTCGCAGGAAGTTTTGGTCCCATTGTAATGGAGAATATAAATGTAGCGATTGACATGGTAAGGTACAAAGCAAATCAGAAAGATCATCAGGACCATGATGATCATTTTGATAGCCTTTTCCTTCAGGTGTTTCTCAACTCTGTTCCCACTCTTCAGGCTTCGGATGATTAATAAGTAGCAAGTCACCGTAGTAACAAATGGGAAGGTGAATGCCACTGCTAAGGACACAAGGGCATGACGTGATGCCTTTTCTCTGTAGAGCTGCAGGCAGACAGTTGTGTTTTTCATCTCGACTGTCTGCACACTGAGCAGCAGAGGTGCCATTGCAACCCCAACTATAACCCATAGAAAGGCACATGCCAAATGGGCATAAAGGGCCCTGCGGAGCTTGATGGACTTCACAGGGTGCACAATGGCTAGGAAACGGTCAACGCTGATACACATGAGGAAGTAGATACTGGCATACATGTTGAGGTAAAAAAGGAAGCCAGTGAGTCTGCATGGTATCTCACCAAATGGCCAATGATTACCGGAAAAATGGTATACCAGCCGGGTGGGAAGTACCAGCACAAAGGACAGGTCAGCCACAGCAAGATGCATCAGGAAAATGTTGGCAGGTGTGCCTGACTTTTGGTCCCGGATGAAGAGCCAAAGAGCCAGGGCATTGCCAACAAAAGCCAGAATGAAGTCCAGGAAGTAGAAAGTGCCAAAAAGGATGTTCTCAAGATGTGTCTCTTTGCCACATTGCTCTGACGTTTCCAGAGAGAAATTTGATTGATTTGAGCAACTGAAGAGTGGGCTTGAGGGATCTGCTGGGCTGTTCATTTTTCACCACAGTTTTGAACCGAAAAACCTGAAAGAATTGAGACAGTATATTACAAAAGAGCCTGGTTTTCTGAAGGAAAAAAAAAAAAAACAAACCCAAAAAACCACATACGGAAATCAGTGGTGTCTCCTGTTTGCTAATCCTGGTATTTAATATGACAGGCCAGTCTGAGTTTAAACCCTTATGGTAAAATTCTGAATAGCTCCTGCTTGCCTGGGTTTTCCAGATCATTAATTCCTGTTGAAGGAACCACTATAAACAGCTAACTAGCTGATTATGAGCTTGTCCCCAACCTGTGCTGAGATCAGTTGATTAACAAGGGTAGTGAAATGCTTCTGTGCCTGGTTAATGGAAGAATGATAAAAGGGGGTTCTGTATGTCTAGCTAGAAAGTATTTGCTATGTTTACTTTGAAAGCCTGATTCAGGATTGAAGAGCTCCTAACGAGTCAGCTTTTCTGAGCACAGGTATCTGTTGTAAGGTGACCTAGCTCAGAATATCTGGCTTGTTCCTAGAAGAGGTAGAAGACAGGTTAGGTTTTGCTGTTATTAAAAAAACTGCAGGGTTCCTGAGAATCTTTGGGAATTATTTTACTCTAAAGTCCTGTATTTAAAGCAAATGCATCTAGTTCCAATACAGGAGGAAACTTCGAGATGAGTAGTAGCATCTCATTTGAACAGCAAAAAGCACTGAACTGAGTCAGAAAAGATTATTAGTGATGCCTGTGCTGTCAGTTACTTGTCAAAGTGTCATCCTTCCCTGCAGCCGCCGCCTTCTCCCAGCATAACTCTCTCTTTTCCCCTCAAAAGCCTGAATTTCACTGTAGCTTATCCAGGGCGTTTTCCAAGTAGCAGTTTAGTAAAACTGAGCTTAGCTTTGCCAGTCTCTCTGTTGTCTGCAGGGACCTGAACAGCATCAACAAAAAGTGGTAAGATTTTCTGGGCACTTACTCATGTTCTTTTATACATTTCTCATCTGTGGGTATAGGTGGCAGGGAAATGGAAGCAGTCTGAGTTTCCAGCATTGTCTCTGTTTCTTGGATTCCTCAGAGGTGCTACAGTATGTGCAGCAGTACCTCCACTATGCTCACCATTGCATTTTGCACTGATTGACCGTTTCTCCATAATATTCAATACATTTTTAAATACATTCATTGTCCTCTAGTGAGATTAAAATTTTAAGATGGTTGCCGACATTGTTAGACAAAATTTTTAGTCTCGGGCAGAAGCTGTGCTGTATGCTGAAATCTTAAATCATTAGACAGTTGATCCAAGGCGTGATGCAATGCATCCAGCTTCCCAATAGAACTGATGATTCAGATGTTTAAGAATATTGGTGGTTAATCAAGAAACTGAAATGGGATTAAGAACAGACCAATATATTGGAAAATGTAAACAAAATTCCAAGGTAATTCCCATCTTTTGTTTGGCTGCTGTGACTTTCATGTGGACAGAAAACTACAATAGCTAGAGATTAATATGCTGGACCACTTCTGTTTAGTTCACAGCTGAAGAGACAAAAGTCCACAGAAGGGAGACTGAATGAAATTCGGAAACTGAAATTTCTTCAAATGACCACAGAGGGGCCTTCTTACTCCATACATTGCCTAGATACCCTGCATGTATATGGCACAAAAAAGACTCTAGGTTTGAGTGTATGGGTTCTCACTGCCTACTGCCAGCTGCATGCTGCTTCATAGTTCTAGAGATGGCAACAAATTATTATCTTGGAATGACATGCACAGTAGTGCATGTGCAAGGAAGACTGTACAGCCCTTTTTTCCAGGGACATTTTATCTATAAAAATACATGTGAATTCTAGCTTTCATGTACAAAAGGAAAATTCCCTGTTGCAGTTTTCCGTGTGAATTTCCTGGATTTGCAGAGGACCCCGCAATTTTTGTTTCTAGTGTTTATTTGACATTTGCAAAGTAAAACCTGCAAGTATTTTTGAACAAAGATTTTGAAGTTTGCATGTGATAGTGATGTTGAATGCTCAAATACTTGTCCTCCCTGGGTGGAATTAGTTTAAATATGTATTTTTCTATTGCATACCAAAGGAGAAATATGATGAGACCATGCCTTTTTACTGGCTGTTAATTTACAGTGGTACCTATCACCTGATGTTCTGGCTGTACAGCGTTTTTTTGTGTCAGACACCTTGTTTAAATATGCTTTTTATCTGGGAAAAATGTAATCGGGTAATCTTTATATACACACCTGTCGGTGATTGGGTGGTGTGATAGCTAAGCATTAATCTATACATGGTTGTGACACCACTGAGAAAGCAGTAAATGCTGGCTTGGGCCAGCTGAAAAGGCAGAAGCAAGGGTTGATGTCTCTTGTTTTAATGATGATTTAAATCAATTCAGGAAGTGAAGCAGTAAGCAGACTTTTTCCCTGTTTACAAGCTAAATACTAGGGGTTTAGCAGCATGATACATTGAACTGATTCTATTTGAGCTGTTTTCCCAAGGATGATCTTTGGGATTCAGATTCAGCTGAGTGTCAGTGCTAGACTTAGAATAGCTAAGACGTAAAAGTCAAGAGTTTTGTCCTCACTGATGGCGATGCTGAGTCTGCCATTGATTTCTATCTGGACAGGCTTTCACTGCAAAGTACTGTGGGATGGAGTAAAAATGAGAATGTCAGAGCTATCTAGAAGCCCAGAATGTAAGTGTGAGGAAGGGAGAGGCTTAGAACTAACTATAAAATTGAAATAGATTCAATCTTTTCAAATGAGCGCCTCCATAGGAGAGCTGCTGTTACCTAATTTACTTTTTAGAGCAAGGTGAAGGAAGGTATTTTTCATTGCCTGGTCAGAAATCATAGAAAATCTAATTTTGCTTAGGTTTTAAATTAGAAGGGAATTTTAATCGAGTTTTTAATGTTTTACAATTCTGTTTGTTGACGTGAAAATTGTAGGTTAGGAAAAAAGCTGACATATCACTAGAACTAATTGTTGAGCTTATTTTTAGAATTGATATTTTCAACAAAATGCTGCAACTTTACAAAAGTAATAGTTCTTTGACAGCGTGTGCTGTAGGCAGCATGGAAGGCCCTTTGCTGTTATTTACAGTTCTACTTCTATTTTGCCTGGTTTTATCCTATCAATTTTAAATAAATGTGTTTAATTTTTAGTTTTTTTCTTTCTTTTTGGTTTATTATGCCTACAAAAAAGCACTCCTAGAAAGCTTGTTGTACTATTCTGTATGAATACTAAGAGCAAGCTAGAAACCTTCCCAAATGACCTAGAATGTGTAGTTTGTGCTAAGCTACATGGTGCAGGAGGCTTTGACTCCACAGATAGAAAACTCCTTTAGGAGTCTGGCTCACTGTCCAATAATTTCTGCTTGGATAGCACTGTTGGTGGTGTGCAAATATCCGGTGATTTATGTATCGCTAAACAGAGCGTTATTCTGGAATGAGCTGTTATCCCAGGCTTCCCAGGGCTAATCTGTAATGGGGATGTCACAGCTCATTTGAAATGCATGCACACTGACCATATTTTGTGCTCTGTTTCTCTTCTGCTCAGAAACAAGCGAGATAACAATCCACAAGGCTTCAGTATAGACACAACCTGATTACTCTTTCAGCAGATGCTCTATCTATCATTAATGAAACAATTAATAAGCAGAAGAAATATTTAGTTCATCATAAATTAGTCGCCTGGCTAGTTTGGAGCTTTTGTTATAATGCCCACTGCAGAAAAATTTGAACTATATATTAAGGTTTATAGTGGATATCAGAAGCTCCTGTTCTTGCTTTCAGCTAGAGCAGTTTCTGGTTTGGGATTATGCTAGTTTGTGGGGTTTAATGATTATGGTTGTAGTGTCTTGTCAAATCTCTCCTATCTTTCACTGAAAGTACTCTTCATTAGAAATAGTCCACTTCTGACTGAAATTACTCTCCTGAAAATCATTCCCTGCTGAGCCTCCTACCCTTCAGCTGAAATACTTATTTCTTGTGAGCATCAAAGCAGTGTTGGAGAGCACTGGACATACCATAGAGCTATCAGTTGTCCTGGCACAAATGGATGTATATTAGGTACAGAAATTTGAAAACTTTTACGTTTTGGAGGAGAGATGTAAAGAAGAATGCGGAAATTATTCTTTGAAGTTCAAAAAATGCTGCCTCGTTCTTAGTTTCAAACATTTACATTATATTCATCCACCTCTCTGTGTGTGTCTTTCCACCTCACTGACACCAGCTAAAACTAATGCCATTAGGAAAGCTCCTTCATTATTCTGCTAATAGAAGTTTGTCTCTTACCTCTTTACAGTGCAGTCCTATGGATGGAGTATAGGGTCCTTTTGGGGAAAAGCTCAAGGAACTCCTGATGACAGCAAACCAAATAGAAGCAGCAACGGTGAAAACAACAAGATGATCCAAAAAGAGCACACAGTTGCAGAGCTGCTGAGGGTGGAGAGGGGACCCCCTCTATATAGTGTCCTCCTAGCTCTGATAGCGTGTTATCAGCTCAGTCACACAACAGAGCAGGGCAGAGGACACCCCAGCACTGAAGAGCAGTCTTCATCCCAGCTGAGCTCTTGGCACTGAGGTTGCTGCTGCTGTTATAGATATGAATATACTGTATGAATATTCCAGTGTTCATGGTGCTTACTAAAGGCTGCTACTGAACTCCCAGCCGTGAACACAGGCTTCTTGGAGTCCCCTGATTATTTTAGGAGGGTGGAGAGAAGCATTGTTTGGGGGAAGTCTGGTATTAATAGACACAACAGGACATTTCAGAATGGGATAATTCCATGATGGTGGGAGTGGGGAGGGGGAGAGGGAGAGGGTTGGCTGCTATGGTAACAGCTTAGCCTGTCCAACACTTCCCTTTGCTTGCAATAGAGGAGGGTCTATGGGACAGCAGAGCGGGTTTGTGAGTGGGGAGGGGTTGATAATGGTTTATCAGTGCAAATCGCTGAAGGCATCTTATTCAGCTCAATGAGAGGGGTCTCTTTCAGGACACTTGCTTCAGGGTCCCTATGTCCTGCCCCATATAATTACTCTGCATTTGACAGTGCCGAATAAAATTGATGCCTTTATGCTGAGATGAGCACAGCTGCATGTTTCCTTATAATGGGGTGCTGTCTGCTTTTTCTGGACTCCGTCTGGGCAGACAGTAGTTCCAGCCCTGGAGAGAGACACTTGCTGACAGGAGGACTCAGATTTGGAGAGAATAATAATGATACTTAGCACTTAGACAGGCGCCTGCCAGCTAAGGGTCATCAATGTTTGAGGTCTCACAACAACATCTGTGTTGTATTCTTATCCCCATTTTACAGATCTAAGAGTAAGTGATTCATCACAGCAGAATTTTGGAAGGGGCCCTGCAAAGAACCCACTACTTCTGGCATAAATCTACCCTTCCCATTTGAACTTTTCCTTTTGTCTGGTGTCGTTCGAGAATGACCTGTAAACCTCAGCAAGCATTTCACATACTGATATAGTGAAAGGAATTAAGCAGGCTTGTCTGTTTTGTGACAGAGAAACCCACAGAAGTCATTCCTCTCTCGTTTTCGTTTTATCATAAATTCATCCGAGCCTGCAGCATTGCAACAAGAGGGGTAGGTAAAAGGCGCAAGTAAACTCAACAGCTTCTCCTCAGAGCTCCTAAATATCGGGATAAAACTGGTGGATTCCATCAGCCTTTACAGAAGTTCTTTATGCCTTTGCCCAGGCTTTTCTACTAGAAATTTGGTGTATCTACCTGTTCAGGACTGTACTTGTAATATGTTCTAGAACATGTGATAGGAACACAGTTACATTTACCACATAAAATTGCAAAATTGCATAGTTCTTTATTTTCTTTAAGTTAGGACTAAAAGGAATTGGTAGGCAGAAGAGCTAGTACTCAATGGTCTCTTGTTTGTCCTAGCTATTGAAGGCTAAGGAATCTGGCTATGGTAAAGGCATGCGAGCAATGTGCTTTGGTTTAGTATTTTTTATTCTCTCTCCTCAACTCCCTCCCAGTGCTGTAATGCCTCTGTTATGGCTGGATCCCATAGTTAGTCATAGAGAGAGGGTGTTGCCACCTTTCCTTGCCCACCTCTCAGAAAGGATCTAGAAGAACTGGAAAGGATACCTAGAAGAATGACAGGGTGATATCCCTGACGGGATATAAATCAGTGGATGGTGGAGGAGTATTCTAAGGAAATACAACTCTATGACTGCTCTACTCCTGCTCTACTCACATATTCTTTTCTGTGCAACTAGTGTGAAAGACAGAATACTAAACTAAATTACATTTGGTCTGACCTTGGAAGACACTTACTCTGTTACATAAAGTACATCCTACAGCATGCACTGTTTGTTGTTTTAGGAGAAAGAATTTCTTAATATTTTCCTTACTTTGTTCAACCAGGCATCTGTGCAGGCCATGCCATAACCGTGAAAAAGCTAAGGGACTGGGCAAGTACATCTGTCAGAAGTGCCACTTGATAATTGATGAGCAGCCTCTGATGTTTAGGAATGATTCCTACCATCCGGATCACTTCAACTGCACCCACTGTGGGTATGTTCTTGGTAAGCTGTGTCAGTCTTCTGGCACAGTCCATTACCATGCTGATACCTGTCTGACCTGAATTACTTACCACGAAGGCAGTGTAATTGGAGCACAGTACTGCCCTAGAATGGGTAACGGTGCTGAAGAATAGAGTAAATGGCTCAGTGCTGAGCACTAGCAGGATGGTCTTTATACCTGAGCTATGTGGTTCAAAGATAGCTAGTGTCTTTCCATGACGCTGCATCATTCCATGTAAGTGCACTTCGTATTTCTGCCAGAATATCTATCCAAAGACGTGATATTCCACCGATGTTGTCTTGTCTGGCAAACTGAGAAAGCAATTTTAGAAAGGTGAGTTGACAATAACTGTATTTCACTAGCTTAATTTAGTGACTGTGTTTGTAGCATGAATGTTGGAAAGTACATTAACTTTCATGTTTAGTCTTCCAAAACTTCATCTCAGGCATTAAAGAGCTTCACTTGGTTTTCTTGCTTCAGGGGCATATTTGTGTTTTCAGGAAAGAGCTGACTGCTGAGGCCCGGGAACTGAAGGGAGAACTGTATTGCCTGCCCTGTCATGACAAGATGGGAATCCCCATTTGTGGAGCCTGCCGCAGGCCCATTGAGGGACGAGTGGTCAATGCTCTGGGAAAGCAATGGCATGTTGAGGTGAGGCCTCTCTGAATCTGAAACTTCCTTCAGGAGACATTTTGGAAGAGTTCTAGTGCTAGTTGGAAGTTGTAGACATTTATGTAATCTGTAATATATGAATTCAGACAAAACCTGATTGCTTATGTTTCAGATTTTCTTCACCTTATGTGAGTCGATGAGTACAGCAGGGTCAGCAGGGTTGCCTGAGAAAGCTATCACCTTTCACAACAGTAATAACCGTAATTTTAAAATGCCTGAATTGCATTGTAAAGATTGTTGCAGAATATTGTTCACCGAGCAGCATTTACTTACTAATAAATTTATACATTTACTATTATGTACTTAGATATATCTTCTCCAACCCCAGTTAACAGGTTTGTAACAGTGTTAGAATTTGTAGCGTAGGCAGAGCCAGTGCAATTCTTGCTTTTTAAGCCTTTTCAGCTCATTGTTTCTGTAACTTTCAGCTGAGTCGTCACAGCTTGGTCTGAAGTTTGTTAGTGATTCACGTTTTTAATTATTTAAGCCTCCTAGGGCTTGAACTGAGAGAGATTATGCTGCTCATTTGAAGTGCATTCATACCAACCATGTTTATGTTCCTGTTTTTCTTTGAAACACGCAAGATAATAGTCTGCAAGTCTTATCAGTATAAAACACAAGATGGTTGCCCTTTCAGCAGGTCTTCTACCCAGCTTTAATTCAATTCTTAATTACTATAGTAGACTAAGTATTTCCTGTTTTCTTTTACTTCCTTATAGATTTTCCTGTCTGAGTTTCTTTAAAGCATTAAGGGGTCACAGTTTTAAACTGAAAGAGGAGCGTAGATTTAGATGAGCTATTAGGAAGAAATTCTTCACTGTGAGGGTGGTGAGGCACTGGACCACTCAGTGGATAAGGAACTGGCTGGATGCTCACACTCAAAGAGTTGCGGTCAATGGCTCAATGTCCAAGTGGAAACTGGTGGCGAGTAGCGTTCCTTAGGGTCAGTATCAGGACCGGCGCTGTTTAACATCTTTGTTGGCACATGGTTCAGGGTAATCTTAAGCACAAATACAGCCTGGGCGGAGAATGGATTGAGAGCAGCCCTGAGGAGAAGGACTTGGGGCTGTTGGTTGATGAGAAGCTCAACATGACCCAGCAATGTGCGCTGGCAGCCCAGAAAGCCAACCATGTCCTGGAGTGCATCC